GAGGTGATAGGCGGGTGTCCGCGTGCGGGGCGCGGCCGCGGGCTCTCCCAATTAAATATTTTAATTAGTTACTGTGGCTCACAGGTGTGATTTGATTTGCGGGAGAAAGTGGCAGCCCATGGAAGAAAGGTTTCGGTGGAAGGCGGGACAGGACGGGGATGGGAGGAAGAGAAATGTGATAAATTGGGTGCGGGAGAGCGCTGCGAAGGTTTGGGGGCGCTGAGCCGGGGCTGTCCCCGCCTGCTGCTCATCCCCCGGGTCAAACTCTTCCCCTTTTGTTCCTGTTGTGCCTGTTCGCCGAGGTTGCAGAAATAAAGCGAGAAAAGTGCACTTGTGGCGTCGCTGTGATTTCGGTACTTGGCAAGGCTGAGTCCCCTGCTGTAGGGAAGGGTGGGTTTGGTTCTGAAGTTCGAGAAAAGCTCTTGTGTAGGGCGTGGGGAGATTTGTGGGAAGGACTAAAAATCCTGGTGCTGTTGTGATAGGAGAGCTTGCCAGAGAGCATTCCCCTGTGTGCTGCTCTAAACTCTGCTAAAAAGTCATTTTCACTTGCTCAGAGCTCACTGAAATACACACGCATGTTTATTTCTTTTCCTGTTTTGTTTTTGTGCTGTCTTTTTCTCTGTTTATTATGACTATTGCAGCATAATATTTGTGTATTGATTTGTTTTTGTTTCATTTTTTTAATGAATTACTGTGTTTTGCAAGCCACAAGGCATTGAACGCAGCTGCAGGGACTCATATTACATAAAATGTTTGTGGGATTTACTCAGGGTGGTATTTTCGTGCTTTACTTGTGTTGGAGCAAAATACTGACACAAACACAGGTTGAAATTGTTGTGGTAAAGCATTTACAAAACACAAAGACAAGCATTTACAAAACACAAAAGTAGAAACTACATGAGACCTAAACTATGAATCTCCCCCAGAGATTACCAGATCGACCAATGTGAAATTAAACTGAGTTTAGCAGAATTGGATAAATAAAAGGGTTTGGACAAGAAGCAGTGCCAGTGTCAATCGCTGTCAGCCTGAATGTTTTTGAATTATAATAAACCCAGATTTTCTTAGGTTTGTTATTTATAAAGGTGCTGGTAAGCAAAATCCAGATTGCTTAAGTAAACGTTGCCAGAAAGTAATAGTTTTTAAATGAACTTCCAATAAAAATATAAATTTCATCTTTTATGCTATGTTACCGAGACCTTCATGCGTCAGGACTTGCATGATCACCAGTTAATAAACAAACCTTCATGCATCAGGACTTGCATGATCACCAGTTAATAAACAAAATTGAGTGTTTTAATTATTCTAATGAAGTGGATGAAGTAGAAAAGGAAAATAGGCCACTCTAATAACAGACAATCAGTTGGTGAGGATATAAAATTTTATGGACTTAGATGGACTTTATGGAATTCAATTGCAGATATAAAAGTGTTATGACTGCTGTTCAGAAACGTCTCTTCCAGCATGAGCATTTCTGCAGCTTGTCTAAATTAGAGCATTAGTTCTGTTTGATGTTTAGTTTTAATTACAGGACTTGTGGCTGGGCTGAAATGTCTTGCTAGGAAATGTGTGGATTTCTCAGGGTTTTTGTTTTTTCCTGTCTGTAAAGCCCAAATCCTCCCTGAAACCAGTGCAAAATCCCCACTGCCATGGGTGGGAGCTGAAACAAGGCTCTGTGTAACCTCAAGGGTTCTGTGTGAAAATGGGCTCCAAAACAGACATCCAAGGCAAGGCTTTAAGCCTTTTTATTTACTTTTTCCCTCCCTTCTCCTCACTCCTTTTCATGCAGGAGCCAAGGCTGGTACAGGTGTGAAATGTGCCATTTCTGTGGGTTATGTTCTCCACAGCTCTTGTCCATTCTGCACTCCTCTGGGCTAGTCAGAAACTTGTGGGAATGTCTTAGAGAAGGCTCCTCTTGCCCTGCAGAGCCACAAATCCAAGTTAACTCTGGTTTTTAAACTCTTAGTATGGTTTTTATGTCACTTCTGCCTCATTTTCTACCCCCGGCTGCTCAAACCAAATATTTCTGGTGTCCTTATGTACTGAATTGAATAGGTTGGGTTTTTTTACTGGCAATTTTCTGACCATCTTCAGTTTTTCAGCATCTAAAATAGGTTCTGAAGTCTCAATTGTGTCTGTGAAAGAAAATAAATAAGCATTTATAAGCTGTTCAGGATCCTCATTGTAACATTGCTGTAAAAATGCAAGATATCGTGACTGCAGAGCCGTGTTCAATTTTCCTCTGACTTTGTCCTATTTATTTCCAGAACATGCTTGAAGAGCTATTAATTCATAAGCCAGATGATCCCATTGAGTTCATGATAAACCACTTAAAGCAAAACAATGATGATGGTAAGTGGAAATGGAGACACCAGAAATAGTTCAGCTCCTGATTTGTTGGGAGCTGTGCTGATGTTGGCAGGTGATGGATCAAACTTTTCAGGCTGAGTCTTGAGGAGGGGGGAGACAAAAAAAAAATGGTGAGCATTTTGGAATACTTACAGGCAAGATGCTTTTAATTTCTTTTTTTTAGTGAGTAATCTAATAAGAAATGCACTTTAACAGTTCTAACAATGAAACCCTCTAAGGGAATAACAAAGAGTTCTGGTGTATCAATTATTAATGCCTTCTGTGCCCCATCTGATATTTCCTGTTGTCTTTAAGCTCGCTAATTACTCCTTTTGTCAGGTGTAAATTTGGGTTCCTATTCTACCTGGGCTGGCAGATTTCTCTGCTTTTTGATTAGTTTGTTACTCTCTGCTGTTAATGAGTTCCACAGCTCAGTGGCATCTCAGCTGAAGGAACAGTGAGTGTGTCTGCTCCTCTGTGGAACAAAACCTGGTAAATTGAATGGGAAGTTTGTATTCTGCACAATAAAAGCATGTACCCTCAATCAAATTATTTGATTTACAAACTGTTCACCCTTAGGCAGATTATATTTGGATATGCACAAGTGAACTGTAATTTTTGTTCTGCGTGAGCTGTCAGGGGGAGCTGGTGTCATGGAGCTTTGATGTTTCTTTAAAACCAGAGTAAACCATTATGAAAGTTGTGCTGCAGCATCAATGAAATCATTATCACTGGAGGTGCTGTGAGCTCTAAGTGATGGTGATTGAAATGCTGCTAAATATGTTAAAGGGAAAAAAAAAATCAAATCCTGCAAATTGTGCCCAGCCTTTTCTGGTGCAGGCATGCCTGAATAATCAATCTGGTTTGCAGACCCATGGAAAATATGTGTAAGAATTTCCTGCAGTTTGATAGAATGCTGATAAAATTTCTTCACATTGGGCTAACATTTGTCCTGCAGCCCCACAGTGTTATTTTAACAGAATTAGGCAAGTTTCCATCTCATGACTTCAGCACTTAAAGGCTAAAGACAGAATTACAGCTGTTGTTTGTCAAGGGGAAAATGCTGTTTTCTTTTGGTCTGGAAAACCCTGTTAAGGAAGAAGAGGAACTCCAATTAAAATTAAAGCCTAAATGTTGTTTTAAGAATAAATTATATGGAAAATAATGTAACAAAAATGTGTAGCAGAGTTGATTTTACTTTTTGATCATGGAGGAAGGTGCTGACTATTTAGAAGGAAAAAAAAAAACCTTATTAAAGCCATCAGTAAAGTGATGAATTTTCATGATCTTGCCTTGCCTAGACAGTTTTAGCCCTAGAGAAAATTTCAAACAGAGATGTGTGGAAAAGAACATTGCATCTATCCCAGGTGTGAAGTTAGAAACCCTTTTAAATTAATAACAAGATCCAAAGTACTTTTAAAAATATAAACAAGTCTAATGGTGATTATAGCTTACAACTGCCTTGAAAATCTTGTAGGTCAAATGTGTGGCAAATTGTACTTAGGGCTCTGTGCTATTGTTCTTTCATGTGTTCCTTCTAAAAACCTTCAAGGGCCACATAAAGACTGATAATTCTTTCAAATTCAAAAATGCAAGTTTTCTACATGGTATCTTGTATTGTGCTAATGAAAAAAAGCGTTCAGGGTCTGAGTGGCATTTCTGTGAGCTCCTCCTTTGCACTCAAACCTCTGATGGAATGTAAAAAGTTCTGCAAGAATGTTCAGTGTGTACCCTGCGCTTCTCTTCTTTGACAAAGGATTTCTCTTACATGTTAAGCAAATTTTGTTGCATTGACATTAATCACAGAATCTTTTGGATTTAAATGGAACTCTGTGAGTCCAGCTGTTGTTTTGTGTTATTCCAGGATTCAAATAGGAACTCATATTTAGGAATAGGAACCCAAATTTACACCTGACAAAAGGAGTAATTTGTTGTTGCTAACATTGTTGTTGAATGTTAAAACTTGCTTTACTTGGATGAGTAAATCCCGTAATAGCTCATCAGACTAAATACAGAATTAAATATGATTTTTTTACTGAAGAAAAAGGCATTTCCCAGAATTTCCTGCCTTCATGTAGCTGCTGCATGAAATAGTGACTATTTGCTGCTTGGAGGGGTTAAACATTACACCCAGTGGTGTCCTGGTGGTGCCCCTGTGTCAGATGTTTGGGGAGAAGGCTTTAGAGGAGCCCTACAAGTGTGCAAATGAGTAAATCAGTGAATTACACTGCCCCATCTGCTGCCAGCCACTAAGCAGAGAGCAAACCAGATTTAGTACAAAGTGAGCATTTACAGTAGCCCTGGGCAATATTAAAGCATGAGATGGTGTATATAATGGTATGTTTCGTTTTTTATCAAACGTTTGTCCAAGAAAGCTGTGTATTAAAGCTTCAATACCTAAGGGCTTTCTTGTGAATTTTAAATCATGCTCCTAGTTAAACCTCAAAAGGATCTGTGGATGGAAAGGTTTTTTGATTTTCTTTGAAGTGGTTTGAAGAAGTTGATTAGTGTTGGCACCCAAGCACTCTTTTATGACGCTGTTTATAAATAATTCCTAAGTACCGGGCTGGAGTTTCAAGGTGTTAGATTTTAAAAAAACCCTAGGATTTAATCACATTACATTTGAAAGAAATTAGGTGATAAAAACAGCTGATGTATCCTTTTAAAGTATTTTTCTACATTGTGTACTAGTTCTGTTGCACTTGCAAGAACCAATAAGGGGGGGAGTTGTTCTTAAACCTTCCAAGTCAGATAACTTTGTAAAGATGAATCTGTAATTTGGGTTTCATGTATGTTTAAAAATTGCACCTGCCCAATAACTGTTAAGTGCATGGTAGTCCTCATGAAAATACATTTCACATCCTTGCCTGTCTGCTCCCATCAGACACGATCTCCCTTGGTTGTTGAGAGCTGAGGAGGTTTTTGGGTGAGTGGATCCCCCCTCTGCTCTGACCTGTGTTACTCCCAATAAATACTAACCAGTCCCTGCTGCACAGACTCTGATTTGGGGATTTTTTCCCCCCCCTGTGGTATAGGGGGAAAAAACATCAAAGCTGTTAATATAAAATGACAGTTCAAGGGATTGCAGCCCAAAGTGTATTTATGGAAAAAGTTCCAAATACTTTCCTAAGAGTGACTCCATTTTCTCCTGTTTGTCTTGCCTCTAATTCATTCCCAACAAAGCTCAGGGCTGTCATGCCCATTGTGTTGTGTGTGTGCACTGGATTAGGAATTCCTCAGAACTGGGATGCATTTTTTGCACCTTGCCCCCTCAGAGAAAGGAGAGGGACATGTAGCAGAGAAACACAAGAAACAGAAATGAGGAAAATTACTTTAAATGGTGACTAGAAAAATTGAAGGCTGCTGTCAAAAAGCATAGTGAGGGAGCCTTCATTCTGCAGTATCTAAATCTTCTCTGAGCCCTGACACAACCTATTTAGGTGAAACTAAAAACTGAAATATTTTTTCATCATGAAATGTGTTAGTTCTGAATCAATATTTCAGGAATAAAAGTCAAGCTCAGGTAAGGAAATGTTTGTACCTTATGGTTCACCCACTAAACTCTCCATGTTTCAACGGATTGAGATATACATATCTCATTTATCTCTGCAAGTGGCATGGTTAGAGTGGTAATCTCATTGACCATGGAGATTAAAGGAGGACCCAGGTGGCACTGATTTTCTGTTCCCCATTTTTCCCCAGTGGAACCAAATCCTGAAATCTCCACTGAGGTTTCCAGCTCAAATAATTGTTTCATGCGGGCTACATTGATATTATGCAATACAAGAGTGGGAAACTGGTGGGGATTTTTGCTGTTCTGCACTTTGATACTTGCATATCCTTGTTCCACAGCTCCAAGAATTTGTGTCCTTGGTCCACCTGCTTCTGGGAAAACTACAGTTGTGAGTACCTTGCCCTCAGTGTTGCAGCACTTCCCACTCAATCTCTTATTTCTACTAAGCTCAGCATTTTGGAGAATTTTATTCTGGGAAAAGAATTTTGACATTTATCTAAGTGATAGATGAACACAAGACAAATTAAAGGGTGTCATTCCTGAGGGATACACCCGGGTGTTACACTACATATTAAAAACATCTTTTCAAGTGAGGTCTGTGAGAACTCACTCAGGTAGTGAAACTACTGGAATGCAACAGAATTCTGCCTGCCTTGTTTTCCTTGCCTTTTAACAGGAATAATTAGCCTGGGGGAAGTAAGCTAACTGCACAATTACACCACATTTGTGGTGTTCCCTTGCTGTGAATTGCTCCTTTTGCATGGTCAATTGTCTCAAGTCCACTGGCACCATTAAATGCAAAGGTCAGAGTTGCATTTGAACCTCAGAAACGGCGGGTGATGCTGGTGAGGGCATAGTAGGAAGAATATTTCCTTCTTTAAATTCTGTGTTAAGGTACAGGAGATGAAAAAGCTGTTATTCAAAGCTGGATATTCTTGACTACCTTTATAAGAAACTACTTAAAGTTGCTTATATATATCTGTGTACTTAAATGTGTTGCTAAGGAAAACTTTGTCTTTCTGCAGCCTTCTGAAAAAAAAATGCTTCATTTTCTTTCCAAATATTTCAACCTGTATTTTTTTTTTTCTCCCCTCAGGCAATGTGGCTTTGTAAACATTTCAATGCCATACGTGTCTCTCAGGAGACTTTGTTATTCAAGGAAGCATTAAGGCAGACAGAGGAAGCAAAGGCATATAAAGAAAGAAACCAGGTGTGTAAGAGAATATAATAGCAGTTGTTCTCGTGTCACAGAACAGGAATTATGTGGCATTCCCGTGATTTCCACTGCTGAGTTGAGCAGATGAGAGTAAAGATTCTCTTCTCTCTGTGCTGTGCATTGGTGTGTCAGGACACAGAGCAGGGGCAAGAGAGGGAGGCAATGCAAAATAAAGGAAGTCTTGAAAATTCCAACCTTGGAACAAGCAGCAGAACTGGGAAAAATCCAGGAATGCACAATCCAGTCTAGAAAAGCTCCATTCTATTATTAAACACAGTGTCTTCTATCTGGGCATGTTTGATAATCTCAATAAAATAAGCATTAATCTCTGAGGTCTCCTTTGGTACAAAATGCTCTGGAAAATATGTACACAAAGAACTTTTTTTTGATCTGACAGTGCTACTTAGTTGTGCATGCTTGATTTCTCTGTAGCATGACACAAATAACTTACTTGGTGCATTAACTCAAAAGGAGGATGACAATCCAGTCAGCTCCTGACAGCCCTGGAAGCTCTCAAGCTGAGGCAGGAGCAGCTGACTCAGATTGTTGAATTTTCCCCAATTCTGTGCACCTGAGTTGCTCCAGTCAGATTTTTAAATCCATTCATTGTGAGCATCCTAATTGATGTTCAAAGAACATTTTTTTCCAGGCGTCATGACTCCCAGGATTGGTTGATTAGTAATGTAATTAATTGTCTTATTATTAAAAATTAGTGACAGATTGGAAAAACATGTTGAAAGGTTATCTTGAATGCAAAGAAACATCTGATTCCTTTCTCCAATATCAAGGTATTCCATGAGAAATAAACTGGAAGAAATCTGGGTTTTTGTAATTTTCTCTAACAAGTCTACTAGTTTGAGTTTATATTTTGTCCCTTATCACCCATTTTCATAAAAATTTAAGCAATTTCCTATCTGTAGAAATTCTGCACCCCTGCTAAATCCAATTTAGAATTGGAATTGGCCAACAGATTTGTATTTTACTGATATGGCAGATAGTGTGATACACAGGGTTTTTTCCTTAGAAAATTAGGCTAAAATAGGGTAGTGTTTATAAAATTGAATAAAATACTGGATAAGTAAATGAAGTTTGGAGATGCCTCAAGTAGCACACTTCAAGATCTGAGAGCAAAGAGTTCACTGAACTCCCTGAACTCACTGGCAAAAATGTTTGCATTTGGCTGGGGTGGTATGGAATTATTCTTACTGAGGATATGTACTTTGAAATCTTAGTTCTAATTATTAAAGATTGTTTTGATAGGTTCATAAATTTATACTTGGAGGGGGAGAGTTTAAAACAAAAATTCCCTTTGGTTTAATTACTGTAATTATTAACATATTTCAGACTATACAGATGCACTTTCAAGGGTGTCCTTTTGGGCTTATTTGATGTAAAAAGATGGATGGTGTGGAAGATGAAAGTCAAAAATGTCAAGGCTAATCAGGTGGTGAGGAGGGCCTGCAGAGCAGAGGCTGCTGGTGGTTCAGCACTGTGCAGTTTGCCTTTGCAGTTGATTTTTACACCCTAGGAGGAGGTTTTCACTAAATAATTTTGTTCTTTTATGTGAGTTTGTTTCTTTGAATGTAACTCCTAGAATTAGGAAGAAGCTCCTGGGTTTCTCTAGGTTGGGATGAATGTTCAGGAGCAGAACAAGAGCTTTTAAATGAGTTTGGATATAACCAGGGCATTAAAAAGTTGTAGTCCTGGCCAAAGCAATTTAATAAGTGAAGAGGAAAAGCAGGAGATAAGGCTGTGGTTTTTGGAGAGTCTGGTGTGAAGATCATAAACACAATTTAATGTTTTTTCTCACACCTAAGGCTGATGTGGCTGCATTAACCCCAGAGCAGAGCTCAGGCAGTTTGGGGTCACTTGGATCTGGTCAAATGCTGCAAAAAGCTCTGCAAATGTTTGCTCACATATTTTACCTACCTTGAGCCAAGCTTCCATCTCTTTTGTGTTCACCCATTGAAGCATTTGGGTTTTCCTGGCACAGGAAGCCATGGAAGGCACTTTTAAAATCCATCATTGCTCTCTGAAGCTCCATTTTTCAAGTTGGACAAGCAATCATTCGCCCACACATACCTGGCCACTTACTAATGAGCACAACTCAGGTAGTGAATTTTAAATACTGAGTGTTCAAAGCAAAATGTGATCATTCTGCATGTAAAAATACTCCAAAAAGAAGTCAGATATTTTTGAATATTCAGTAAATTGGAGAACCACAAGCTACCAATAAATATTCCATGAACAGAAAAAGAGGCTACATTTTTGGATAAATCATTGCAAATTATTCCCTCATCTCTAGTTATTATAATGTTAATAGGAAGCATCTTCAGGTGTTCCTATAGTGAAGTCTAATGATGAGCTATTGCATGTTTCACTTTTCCTGTTAACTGGGTAAAATAAGAAGTTGAAACAACTGTGGTAATTGTGGGTTTTGTGGGATGGGTGTGCTCTTAATGCTACACTAAATTGCAGTTAAGGTGTTTGCATAATACCTAATAACTTCAAACTGCTCCTGAGTTGTGTCACGTCCCTGTGCTTTTTAAAAAGAAATAAAATAGAAGAGAAAAATAAATCCAAGGCATCCTTAACTATGCATGATCAGCATTCCAATCTATTCCAGGGTAAGCCACTCTGAAGGAACAAAAAGAAAATGTTCCAGGTTTGTGTATCCAAAAAAAAGACCAACCTTTCACGTGTATTTATCTGAAAAAAATAAATCTAAACATTCATGATACTCAGGATCCTAAAGTAAATTTCTTCAAACTTGGTTGCTGTTCTCTCCAATTTGGAGAAACCAGAAATTTTTAGCTGAAGCTGTTTTCAGAGTAAAACTTCCAAGAAAAATGTCTACTGAAAGAGTGTCCTATTAAAAAAGTGTGGGAATTTTATGAAAGGGGAATGAAATACAACTCTGAGTAGACCAGGCATGGAAATTGAAGTATGATGTTCCTGAAATAACATGGAATATTTAAAATTAATCATGAGTGGGTACAGTTTTTCAGCAAATATGGAAATAGTGATTAAACCAGCATGGGTAGAAAAGTGTTCTGGACCTGACCAAAACCCCAGAGCAGTTTTTCCTTTACCTGCTCTGAATGTTGGGACAGCTCTGTGGGCAAGGTGTGGTTTGATTGTTATCAAATGTGTGTCACTGCCCATTATTGCAGATTTCTGGGACGTGCAATCCCATCTCCCAGGCTCACCATATATTTATGTGTTTATGAGAGATAAATTATAAATGGGCTGCCTGATACTTACCAAATATCCTGATTTCTAGTGGGATAATTAGGCATTCTGCAAGCAGCCTATTGAAAATGATTTTGTAGGCTGCCGCTCAGTGGGGGGAAAAAACTGCCCAGGAAATGAGACTGGAATGGAGCCACAGAGAGCAGAAGGAGCAAAACCACTGAAATAGCTGAAATGTGTGTCCTTGGCTGTTTTTGTGCAGCCAAGCCCACTGCAAAGGCAGCAGTGAGAGCACCGCTCTGGAGAGCAGGGAGGATGCGCTTGGTGTAAATTGGTTTGGCAGAGCAGCGCCCAGCAGCGAGCAGCCGGCTTTGACACGGCACATGAAAGGAGCAGGCAGGTCCTGCCTGTCCCTGTCCCCAGCAAGGTGACAGGGGCTGCAGGGGGCTCTGACAAAGCGCCCTGGGGACCTGCTGGCTCGGAGCAAAGGCAGCAATTTCCTTCCCTCCTGCTCTGCTGCCTTGCCCCAGTGTTGGCTGATGTGAGGAGAGGCACTGAGAGCTGCGGACAAAAGAGAGAAACAAAGGCAAACCCTGCCTGCCTGGGCCACCTGAGCTCTGCTGGGTGTGCTGGAGCACTTTCTGCACCCTCCTTCAAAGTGCCATTCCCACCACTCCTTGTGAGATTGTTTCATCGTTTAGTAAAGAAGATTTTATGAAATCTTCCCACATCATCAGCCAGATTTTTCTCATTGTATGAGTTGAAGTTCAAAGGAGTTGCTGCAAGGAATATTTTTTCCAGATGCTATGAGTCCCAGGATTAGTTGATCATGCAATTATCAACCATGTATTATAGTTGATCAATGTAATTAATTGTCTTATTAAAAGACAATTGTCTAATTATTAACAATTAGCAGCAGTTAAATATGTAGATTGGAAAAAGCATGTAGATTTGAAAAATATGTTGGAATATTATCTTGAATACAGAGAATTATCTGATTCCTGCCCTATCTAACTCTCCCAGCCTATAGAAATACTCATTTTTAGGTTTATACCCTTCAAAGTGGTTAGGAAATAGAAATGAGAAGCCACGGGTTATGGAACTAAAGGGAACAGAGAGTCAAGCTCACATTGTTAAGTGAAAGATAATTTATTTTAATTGGGAGGTAGAGAATTTGATTGCAGGTTGTTTTTTTTGATTATTCTTTTTACCAATAATGACAGAATGAATAAGACAAGGCATTTATTGCAATTATTAATGGCTGTCATGAGCTGCATGGACAGAAGTTTAGACTTCGAGTTAACCTGGCTAACTCAGAGTTTAACCAAGTTCAGCATAGACTAAAAGCCTAAATTAACAAGATAGTGGAACAAATTCTTACTAGAAGGAAAGGAAAGTATTGCTGATTTCTTGTTAGGAAATCAAATACAATGAAATAAATGTTGAAGGGTGCTGATCTGTATAGGAACTTTGTTCTTCTGTCACATAGCAAATACCTTCTTACAAAACATCTCTAGAGGTGGACAAAGCAGCAGTCACAGAACTAAACAGCACTTTGGAAATATTGGCAGATGCCGTTTCCATCCCATTTCACAGTCCTGGGTTTAAAAATAAACTAAGTTCAACTGTAAAATACATTTTAAATAAACCTTTTGGATGATAGGAGTTACTTGAAGCTATGAAACAAACCTCCTGAAAATCAAACTGTGCTGTTTGCTCAGTGTCTGAGGTTCTGTTTGTGTCACTGAGAGCTGGCAGGTCCCTGATGCTGAGCCCTCTGTCACTGGGGCAGTCAGGGGTCAGATCCTCGTGGTTAAAAGGATGATTTGTGGATGTGATGTTCCTGTGGATCCCTTTGCAGGTCTGGTGTCCAATGTGTGTGTCAGTGTGCAGAACTTGGCGCTGCTTCCATGCCAGTGTGCAAAACCCCTATGGATATTCATGCTCTGTGCTCAGCTTCCCTTTAACACTGATTTTTGTGCCCTTATTAACTCTTGGTCATTAACTCATGTTAATGACCCAGGACTCGCACGGAATTATTTATTTCTTTATTTCCAAGAAGACATCTCACTTCACCTTTAACCACAACGGTGCCTGCATGGTAAAATTCCTTTTGAACTCAATTGTGAATATTCAGCCCTTTTTTTTTTTTTTTTTTTTTTTTTGTTCTTTCTTTAGAAAATTCCCAACGCGCTTTGGGCCAATCTGATCCAGGAGCGTCTGTCAAACGTGGACTGCATCAAACAAGTAAGAATTGCTCCTCAGAGGGCTGCAGGATAAGCACTTACACAACTCGTGCCTGGTGTTTAGCATTCCAAGTCCCGAGCAGAGCAGGGAATGGGGGCAAATCATCGGGGCTCCCGAGCCAGTTGCTTTCTTGAACATCAGCGGAGGGAGTTTGGAGCTTTATTAACAGGATAAAGGGGAGGATGAGAGTATGCATATGCTAATCTTCCAGCACGGAGATGATCAAAGGCTGAACAAGCAGAGCTTTGTTGATTGCCTGGGGCAACTGGCAGAGATGGAGTGGACAAAAAAGATAAACAGAAAATAGATAGGAATCAATATTGTTGAGGGTTTTTGGCTCTTCTTGAGGAAAAGAGTCTTAACGTTACTGATTTCAGTTCTGTTTCTGGTTGTGTCTCTTTTTTCTTCCTATGTTAGGAAACACTGAATTTGAATATATTGTCTTCTGGGTAATAATTAATATTTTCACTCTTAGCTTGAATAGGTTTAGTTGTGTGAAAAACTGTGGCATTCTGTGTTTCTTGCTCCATGTTTCATCATCTGTTTCAGTCTCCCAATGTTTTTTTTGATCATTAGTAAGAAAAAGTAAAGGGATTTGCAGAAATCCTAAATAATATCAACTTTTCTCCATAAAACACTGCAGACCTTACTATATAATTGACCTATTAATGTTGAATTTGCAAAGCAGAATTAAACTTTGTATTTTCAAGCACTGTTCACTGTGCTTGCATTATATGGGACTGTCTGGTTTTCCTTGAAGGTCTTTCTAGCTGAGCTATTTGACTTCATTTTAAGTAATTTTAGTTACTTGGCACTCCGTATTATATATCTGGTAGCACTCAATATATTTTTTTATCTGTAATAAATCCACACAGGATTTAGGCCCTTCAGCTGGCAGGAGAACCTGTTTGAAACCACACATGATATACTGTCCTGTTCATTTGTGTGGTATTTTTAGTTCTTTTATAACAAGAGCTCTAAAACCTCTCAAAAATGCCCATTTTTCCACATAGGTCTCTTTCCCTGATTAAAAGAACACATGTTTTCAGCAGCTACTTTTCCCAGTGTTTGTTAAAGTGAGTTTTACTGTCAGTGTACAAGCAAAATCCATCACTCTCCACAGGCTGCTTTCACCTTATTTTCCATTTTTTTTTTCTATAATTGTTGGCATGGCTTTAGTTCTCCTGTCAATAATGAGGGATGGATCTCTCAGTGAGTTATTTTCAGTATTAGGTCATGTATGAGTAAGGTGACAAGGTGGTTAAAATGCCAACAGCTGCACAGAGTCCTGCCTGTATTTCATGTTCCTGTTGTTGTCACCAGCAGCACTGAATCAGTGCTGGGTGTCTTACACAACCAGGGGGGAAAAAACCTTTATGAAGCTTCCCTGACATTCAGCAAGAATGGAATGGATGTAATCAACCCAGCTGAGGTTTCAACTGGTTTTTGGAAAAACACATTATTTGTATTTTAAAGGTGTGATGGTTATTAAAAATCTTGACATTAATAGTTAGACACACACAAAGTGACACAAATTATTTTCTCCTTTGAAAGGGGATCTATGCATTTTATGTGTAATATTTTCTGTGTGTAACTCAAAATAGAATTAATGCTGTGGGGTTTTTACATCACTGACCAGATTTATGCCATTTCTTTCAAAACATGAGTCAGCATGTTTTCACTGAAAAAATGTTCACAGATTAGAAGCAGCGTGTTGGACCACAGTACCACCAGCTGTTTGTTTTATTTCTCCTTGTGGTGTCATTGCCTTGGCATTAATTGTGCAGCTTTCATCCCACTGACAGTAGGAATAGAGGATTTTTTGTGCCGTTGTTTTGACACTCACAGGTTTATAGATGTCACTGGCATTCTCTGAGGAGAACATTTTTATTGATCAACAGCTCTGCTGAGGCCCTGTGTTATGTGTTCTTGTAACACAAACGTGGTCGGGACTGTGAGGGATCAGGTGGGGAGGTCTTGCAGCACACACAGGAAACTTATTGCAGGCATTATGTTAGAGCCTGGCACTTGTGAGGCTGATACAGAGAATTTTCATCCTGCAGGGTTAGCACAGCTTGGCTGCAGCCCCTCTGACTGCTGGGAATTCATGGAAGAGAGAGAAATTGCTCAGGATGAGTTTGAGGGGGAGCTGAGCCAATTTCTTGGAGGGTTAGCATCTTTAGAAACCAAACTTGGGCCAGTGAGTCACATAAAGAGTGGCAGAATGAGTTGAGATTGGTAATTTTTATGGTTGCCCTTGAAAGGGAAGGCAAAGAGAAAAATGGCCCTGTTTGGTTTTACTTTGATTGGTTCTGTTTGGTTTTACCTTGATTGGTTCTGTTTGATTTTACCTCAATTGGTTCTGTTTGGTTTTACCTCGATTGGTTCTGTTGGGTTTTACCTTAGTTGGTCCTGTTTGGTTTTACTTCAGTTGGCTCTGTTTGATTTTACCTTGATTAGTTCTATTTGGTTTTATCTCAATTGGCTCTGTTTGGTTTTACCTCAATTGGTTCTGTTTGGTTTTTCCTTGGTAGCTAAAGGTAATAATATTTTCTCTATGAAACTCCATTCAAAGAAAGTGATGGTACAAAGATTTATCCAGGAAGAGAATCTGCCCGTTCACATTTTCTGTTTTCTGAGAAAAATAGAACTTTTAAAAACATTACTCCACTGACAGAACTAATGTGAGGCACAAGAGGTTCCTTTCTAATGGGAAATTTGGCAAGGTTTGAGCATTTTCCATCGTTCATACTGCTCATGTTGATGGGCTGCAAGAGCTGGGTTGTCAGTGTTTCTACTGCACTCTCAGTCTGCTGTGCTCTGAAAATCTCCAGAATTTTAGATCCACACTGGCAAAACCATTACTGATATTATTTTTTTTGGCCCTTTTTAAAAATTTTATCAGTGACATCTGCTTGGAGCTTGTCCCTCCTGTGACAGCACACAGGGAGCAGTGACCAGTGGAATTTCTCACTTTTAGCCTTTGTTCCAACCTTGGTGTGATAGGGTGCAATCCATGCCTGGATAGAAGGTTACTGCTATCAAGAACCAAAAAGAGATGGCTGCTTAAAGAGACAAATTTATCATGTGAAGTTACTAATTAGACTTTAATGACAGTCAGGAGGGCAAAAATAGCAAATAAAGCATGATAGGCATATTTTAAGTCAGATCTTGCTCTGCTGTGTCTCCTTCCTCTTGCTGCATTCTCAAGCCACACTCCCTTTCCACTCTTTTTTCCCCCCCTTTATTTTTCCCCCCTTTTTTTTTTATTTTATCTGTAACACCTGCTTGGAGCTTGTCCCTCCTGTGATAGCACACAGGGAGCAGTGACCAGTGGAATTTCTCACTTTTAGCCTTTGTTCCACTTGGTGTGATAGGGTGCAATCCTTGGATAGAAGGTTACTGCTATCAAGAACCAAAAGAAGATGGCTTCTTAAAGAAACAAATTCATCATGTGAAGTTCTTAATTAGACTTTAATGACAGTCAGGAGGGCAAAAAAAGACCAATGTTTGCATGGAGCATGATAGGCATATTTTAAGTCAGGTCTTGCTCTGCTGTGTCTTCTTCCTCTTGCTGTGCTCCCAAGCCGCACTCCCTTTTCACTCTTTTTTTTTTCCCCCTTTATTTTTTTTTCTTTTTTTTTTTTATTTTATCTGTGACATCTGCTTGGAGCTTGTCCCTCCTGTGATAGCACACTACTTGCAGCTGTTCAGACCTCCAGCTCTGAGCTGTGCACGGGGTGCCCTGAGCATACGGCCTTTTTGATGTGTGATAAAACAGAACCGAGCCACTGGGGGTATGGAGAGGCAGAGCAGCAGAATATCAATAAACCTGTTCTGAACAAAGCTGCAGCTCTGTGCTGGAATAGACATTTCACTGAAGTGTCAAGTAGATGGATAATATATTCTAATTAGGGACTGACTGATACCCTGCAACTCAGAGACCTTTGGAAATCAGCTCCAAAATGCTCACTGTTTTTGTAATGTGTGTTGGTTTTGCATTTGTTTAATGCCTTAAAATATATTTTCAGCAGGGAGCTATTTATTGAGCTTTGTTTTCCTAAATACCCCAAACTTTCTGCTTATTGCCTGTTTTAAGGGCCTTTGAAATTTGTGTGTAAACCTCCTGAAGTTTGCTGTGGATTGTTAAAAGTATGGATTGGTTATTGTTATACTATTGTGTTCACTGCCTGTTGCACAGTATGTGATTTGAGCCATAAGCAGTAGTGACTTCAGCTTTTGTAGGGCAATTTTTGTGGTTTTTTACATTTGTTTTGTTATAGTTTCCAAAAATGTTGCACTCAGAGTGGAGAAAACAAGCCAGATTTGTAGTCTTTGTAAATTGGCATTGATTTATTTGCCATCAGACCTCAGCTGCCATTTCTCCCTAGGAGATCTGGCCCTATATATATATATATATATATATTTTGCACCCAGTATATTCCAAACTAGTGCTGAAGTTCCTGGCATAGCACTACAAACATTGTTCAGCTTTGCCTTCTGCAAGTCCCAAGGGATAAATTGATTTCTCAGCACCTGTGTGACCTTAGCCAGTGGTTCATTCTAATTTGGCAGAGCAAACACTGGGAGTGGCAAAAATGGCTTGCAGATACTTGAGTCTTGTATTTTCTACATCTGTCAGCAGGATGACACCTTCCTGAAAGCAGGCTAATTAAGGAATTTTAAATAATCTGCTCTATTTTCTTGTGTAATTGGAATGGCCCATTCCCTCCCACAGAAGTCCTGGAGATAGATTTCCCTGAAATACTTGGAGAACCTTTGGACCCCACCCTGACAGAGCACCAGATTTATGTGGGAGCTGAGAATAATTGCCAGCTAATGCAATATTAAAATATCTCCTTTATTTCAGCACAAAGATTGCTCCCAGATTTCCTGAGGAATCACAAAGTTATTTGGAGGGGTGGGATAGAACAGCAAGGACTTGTGTGCTCAGGAAACTGCCAGATAAATTAGGGGGAGTTCAGAAGACTCAGATGTGAGCCTGGGAAGTGGATTAGATTTCAAATACTGCATCAGACAAAAACTGAGTGAGGCTGCAGCTCTCTGTCGGTATTTCACAGATCTGTAAATGTTTTTTTAAAGATGCTCAATCCAACACTTAGCTGGCTATAACAAGGACTTAAGGGAGCAAAAAGCTCTTTTTTCTTTTTTCTTTCTTTTGCTCTGTTGCTTCATTAGCTCTGGGAACGCTGGTTCCATTACTGTGAGTTTTCCTGTATAATTTAAGAAAATAATGAAAGCATGCATATTTTCCTCAGTGTTCTTGGCATTAAATCTGTCTTTAGATTTGTTTAGCTCCTTTTTTTTTATATATATATACACAGTGTGGGCTGGTATCCTTTTGAATATTTCAAAACTGTAGAAATTGTTCTGGGTTGTTTTTATTCGAGATAGAAGTTGGCTCGTTTTTATTTTTAAGATTGAAACATGAAAAGAAAAAAAATCATTGCTACAATCCGTAAGTTCCCATTGCTGTGTGGCAGTGGAATCAGTGCATGAATTTCACAAAAATATCAGTGCTCCATGTTTGCTTTCTTCTCTCACAAGCATCCATGAGAAATACTGAGCTGTGGAAGGATCAGAATGAGGTAATTTTTGTGTAAACAGCACTGAGATTTAGTGTGAATTTTGTGGGTTTTTTTTCTCTTCCAGGATCAATAACTCTTTCATGTTTTTGTTCAATAGGGATGGATTTTGGAAGGCTTCCCTGAAAACCAGGAGCAGGCATGGATGCTGCAATCATCTGGCATTTTTCCTAGGCATGTTGGTAAGCAGTACAAGGTTTGTGTGTGGTTGCATCCAGGAGGAAAGACTGGAAGGGTTTGTTCCAAAAATCCTCAATAAATTCAATACCAATGCTGGAGACAGTCACCAGACAGCACAATATTTCAGTAGGGTTGAAAGTCTGAGGTAACCTGGGGGATTTTAAGCCCTGTCTTTCACAGCCTTTTCTCCTTCCATGTCAGAGCTCTGTAAATTCCAGACTCTGCACCAGGTGGGTTTGAGCAGCTAAAGGTGGCTTTGCTCCTGACTTCCATCTCTAAAAATCAGCTTTTATCCTCAGCCTAAACCAGTTCCTCATGTGCTAAACACAAGTTTATGCTTCTGTTGAATTAGGGAATGTAAATTTCACCAAGTGAAGTGGAAACATGGTGATTTTAAGCTTGACCTTTCAGAGTGGGGCTGGATTCTGGCTGGTTTGGGGTGGAATGTTTTACAGACCTTGACAGCTGCCCTTGCCGTACAGCAGAAGCAACTTGTCCCAAATTATAGCTAAAGGACCTACTTAGAATATAAAAAATTACTGCAATTGTGTGGAATGCAGTGTGAAATGATAAATTCAGAGCTTGCCAGTGCACAGAATTTATCCAACTTGATGAATTGTCACTTTGGATTTGATTTGGATGATATTCAACTGTTAATGAAGAATTCAGAATCACTGCAGTAGAGTTAGGCAAAAATGTTTAATGTCTAGTACTTGCATGTATTTTTAATATACCTAATAACATCTGAAGTTGAGTTTTGCTCACAATTATATCTGTGCCACCAAGACCTGAATGAGAATCTTACAGCTCAGCCTGTCTAGTTAATCAAAAAGAAGATTGAGAGGAGATGAGATTTACTGTGTGTGAGTACCTTAATAGGGAAAAAAGTGCCTGAAAAAGCCATTTAATACAAAGAAGAAAGTCATAAAAAGAACTTGTTTGAAACCTGTAATCAAATGCACTGAAAATAGTAATTAAATTACAGTGTTTAACTGCAAGGATGATTGTACAAAAGCAACCCAGGGAACTGACAGATTCTTCCTCTTTTGATGCTTTCTAATCAAGTTTGAACGCTTTTCTGTGAGGTTATATATTAAAAAAAATGAGTTTCACTGGTCTCACCACCAAAGAACCTGGGTGAAAAGTAATGTTTGTGGTGTAGAAGAGAATCAGCCTCAAGTGTCAGTGGGAACTTCTGTCTGAGGCTCCAGAGACAATTTTTTATTGCTGCTGGTGATGTCTTTTGGATAATGGGGACAGTTGGTGCCCATGGGTACTGGATTCATGGATATTTTATCCCACTGTATTGTTTAGTATTCTGACTAAAAGTGAAGTAAAATCTTTGCAAGGAGAATGCTGAAAAATGAAATATGCTCGAGATAAATTCAGCCACCTTTGATATTAGGATACATCTGAACAGTTACAGGGAATAAAGCTAATTATTAACAGGAGTTACACTTTTAAATTTTTTTTCCTTTTTGTTGCCTAGTTATGCTCTATGCCCCAGACACTGTGCTGATTGAGAGGAGTGGTGGGAAAAGGCTGGATCCCCTCACACAAGGTGCAGTATTGTTTGTTCCTGACCTCCCCTGCACACTGCAGTCTTGCTTGGTCTCAGAAATGTTGTAGTACTACTGATGGGGCTAAAATTTAAATGGGATTCCTTTAAGAACTAGCAGGAATTTGTAATTATAAATTTCAACTGTTTGGAAATGGTATTTGTTGACATTGCATTATTTTCAGTGCCAATAAAATACAGGGAAATAAAAAGTTCAGGATTGAACCTGCAAACTGGACTATGGCAGTACAGAATATTTAAAGGTTAGATCTGTCCATATGAGTTTGTAATTTTGCTGTGCATCTCTGCTAGGTCCTGCTTTGTTTCTGAGGTGCAGGGATGCTTTTAGGGTAAATAAAATCATTTCCATTAGGTTAAATAAAAGCATTTCTATTAAACAAAATAAACTGTCAAATCGACTCAGCTCTGTATTGTCTGTTGAGTTTTATCATCAATCATCCATCATGAGATAAAATCCTGCCATTGCTCAATAAAAATATCAAGTTGGATGTTTTGAGGAGTGGAATTAAGAGGAACATTCTTAATTAGAGGCCTGTTAATTCATGCTACTAGTTCTGAGGAGTGGAATTAGGAGGGACATTCTTAATTAGAGGCCTGTTAATTCATGCT